GACAAATGACGGAGGATTTTTTTTATTTCATTCACGTCACTGCCAACCAGCGCAATAGTCTCACAGCGAGAAAAAGAGAACGAGAAAGAGATAGAAAAAGAAGCGAAACCTCTGTATTTAACAAAGTTTTATTTGATTTGATTTTATTATTCGTTAACTAGCTGTTGTTATTGCGCTGACTGACCAAGTGCACACACATTGCGCGCATACACACAAACCCATACGCTGATGAGATTGAGCATCATATATGTGGTTTGTTTTTATTTCTCGAGAATTTATGGCTGTGGTCAATGTTGTATAATAATCGAATGCGATAAACCGACCAAATATCGAAAAGAGAGTGACTGAGACAAATGGAGCATATAAAACGGAAGTTATCAATTAAAGTGATTTATACATATTCAAAACCAGCACTTCTTAAACGGTTGATAATAACAATTGTAATTTTTTTTAGGAGAAATACGCATAAAATCAGCAAACAAAGAATCAAGCCACATTTAGTTCAATTCACTTGGTTACTTAGATTTAAGCGCGTATCTTTTGTTGCGTACAAATTCATGTGTGTGAAGCGTGTGTTGTAAATTAAAGAGATAGTCTCTATTTTCCCCGTGAATGTGTTTGTCCATTCGCTTCCAGAGAGAAATGGATTGATGAACAACAGTTAACGAAAAAATGCCACTTGTGCATAAGCGAATGAATCGCTTTAATCAAGAAAATGTGTACAAGTGCATGCATCAAAATAACAAAGAAAAAAAAACTGCGCAAAATACTGAATATGCTTGTGTGTGTGTGTGTATGTTCCGAAGCAACAACAAAAAAACCATTCTAAGAATGTAGTCCAAATGCCATTTCTTTTTCTCTATCTAACATATTTATCTGTATCTCTCTATTAGAAACTGATTTGCTCGTTTTCAACTCTGCAATACTTAATATGGCACATAAAAATGCATGTCAGCCTCAGTCACATGAAAGCAACAAAATATGCAACGATTTTTTTTTACTTCGTATTGTTCGTTCGCTTCTTCGCGTATCGATGACTTTTTAGATGGGTTTACACGTATCGTGCATGGTACATGGGAACTTTCACTGTGGAATTCATGTCAATTTTCTGCTGCTTGATCAGAAAGACCTCAGAACTTTTTTGCGTTTCTTTTTGCTTTGCGACAACCATTTTTTTACGTTCCCGCAGTTTTTTTTTCTTCGCATTTCTAACAAACGAATGCCGAAGCAAAATGAAAAATAATTCCGTTCTTTGAATAAGGTTTTTTTTTTGTTCACGTTTCAATGAAGCTTGTATTATGGTTCATTGGATATGTAAGCGAAATGAAGAAAAAAAAAAATGCGCCATTGAATTGTTTTTTTTTTTTTGCTAAATTTGCGAATGTCAAATCATCTATGGAACACATGTTTATAATTAAATTAAACTTGAACAGAATGTGGTGGACTTTTTATAGCCGAATCATTTTTAGGGTGACTGTTCACAGCTTTATCGTTTTTCTTTATTTGATTCTACCCTTCAAGAAGAAGAAGAAGTTCAATGACTAGAATGATGTGGCGCGCTTATCTCATAAAATGAAAGCTTTACGAATATATTATTATAACATATCGAAAATTATTTAATATATTAAATTAATCGTGCTAAATTTCTAGCAAGAGATTTGGGGTCTCAAATTGATTGTTATGACATTTAACAGATTTTCAAATTCCCATTCGTTTTAGATACGAAAATATTCACGAGATCACAAACGCATTTACAACAATCGTCCAATATTAAGGTGTTATGGAATGTATAATATTAAATACAGCCGGTCGAGCCGGCATATTACATAATAAATTCGATGAATTTTGATAAAATATTTAAAATATATTGATATTTCAATTACGTAATTGATTTAATTTGATTTCCATATCGGCTCTAATCACTTGCTGTTGTTTTTCTATTTTCATGGTTCTATTTCATTCACGAAAATAATATTTGAAAATATGTATCGAGTGTTTTTTTTATCGCATGGACCTGTACGATTCATATGAAATATTCATGGCACCAATTTATTATCTAATATATGGTTGGTATTTATAAAATTTTAAATAAGTTAATATGTAATACTTAAGAGCAGTGCGGTAATCATTTTCTGGAAAAACAATGGGACAGACACGGGAAACATATGCCAAACGCACAAAAAAACGTGTTCGTCCAACATCAATATTGCGTGTACGTGTGTATGTTGATGTTTTTTTTACGTTTAAAACGAGGTCTAATTTTCAAACGCAATCCATGCTGCACCACTTATTTCAATACTATACACGAAAATTATAAAACCACTCAAAATTGAAGCAAATATTTTAATAATTCACGATTTAAATCAATTCGACGACAATGAGGAGAAAAAAACGTATTCAGATATTTTGAACGAATTAAATTGAGTTTAGCCGGCCCTTACATAATGTTATCGAATCGTTTTGATTCTGCAGGACGGAAATGAGTGGAAGAGAGAAAACATGTACACATACAAATTTGAAAATAACTATAATATATTCTAACTAATAATTCCTGGTGGTGTCGTTTTTCATTCCAGGCATATCGAACACGCTTTATATCAAATAAAAAACCAAAAAAAAAACAAGTGTTCGTTAAATATTTAAAATAAAAAGATTTTTTCTTTCGGCTTTGGACAAATCAACGTTGAAATAGAATTGCCCTCGGCAAACAGCCAATCACATTCGCCGTGGTTTTTTTCCCTCTATCTCATGTACGGAATGAGAAAGTTTGACAACTTTTTGATAAATTCATCAAAATCGGAATGTGGCAGGAGGTGAGGTCAACGTTAAAGTTGACTCGTTATTATTTATTATGTACGGATGATCGAACAAGGATTTTTAGTCGGTTGGCTGGTTCCTTTTTTTTACTGGTCCACAACAAATGTGTGTCTTTTCGTTTAATTCGTCTTGTTCTTATTGGTGGTTTGATTTTTTGGTGGTGCATTAATAATTCAATTCGTTAAATAATACCATTATCCAATTAGCTTAATTTCCTATTTTGAAAACGACGAAATGGAAAAAACAGAGTACCTTCGAAAAAAAAGAGAAATCGTGCCACGTCGAGAACAATTTTTCGATATTTTTAAATAATTTTTGAGTTTTTTCCTTACAGATATCTTATATTCTTGTGTTTTGATTACGTTTCATTGCGTCACTGGTTCAAAACGTTGACGTATCACATTTGAATTGATTGTGGTTCAAGTAATTGGTGACACAAATATGATGGGATCATTTTCTTCCAAAAATAAATTTGTTCTTTCAATTGGAAAATTTGAACGTTGATCTAATTGGTGTGAAAAGAATCATGCGTCAATGATCTCTTTAATAATTTTATTTTCATTTTTTGATTCTAGTCCATTTGATTTTCGGTTTTGTGTGTGTGCATCTTGTTTTTTGTTAGAAATTCGAATAATCGAATCAAAATAAACTAAAATCTCCTGCAATGTTCCTTCATGAAAGATTCGATATGACTAATTTGATGATGTCTCAAAAGATGAAAAAAAAAATACCCACCCAAATTAAGTAACAATGTTTTTTTTCGGGTTGGCTTTGAATTGGTTATATATCTGATCCGCAATTATTTGTGTATTGAAGGCGACATAATACGTGATGAAGAAAGAAAAAGCATTTAATCTAAATTTACGAACAATAAACATTAAGGAACATATACACACCAAAATTTGTTTCGGCCCATTGTATGTTGGCACAATGTACAAATTAAACGAAAACGAATCAAGCGCGTATTGTTAGCATACACACCACTGCCGCCGCCAACAACAATAATAGCAACAGCAGTAACAGTAGAAGTGAATAAATAATCTATTATACAACAACAAAAAATACAATACGCAACGCATTATACAAGATAAAAAGAGCGAATTTATAACAAACCCACTAACCCCATGAGTCTAATCTACCCTTTTATCGATCATAGTCATCACATCAGCGCTCACCCGCACACATTAAATACATATTCAACAAGATTCTGATTACTATTTTATGTCATGGGGGGGCATTATGCAAGAAAGCCACGTAATGTCAGCTATAATAATTATTCATAACCTCAAATGGTGGTTTGAACTTTTCGCCAGCAACGACGACGACGACGATTACTATGTAAACGACGATAAAAAAAGAGAATCGAAACGAAGCAAAGAGCCAAAAGAAATGTAAAGCAGCGTATTTCAATTGGAATCATTTTGTTTTGGGTTTGGTTTGGTTTGTTCGCGTCTCTTCGTATTATTGTTAGCGTTTGTGCGAAACTTGACAGCCAACGCCAAAATCAACGCGAACTCATTTTGACCGTATGCTTTTTTTTCTGTATGGTGGCCAAATAGTGAGCGAGGGTGAATAATATGCGATGACGGCATTACAAACCACTAAGAATTAGACTGAGGCGAATGTGCAGTCGATTGAAAAATGTTCTATACGGTGTTATTTTTTGCTCTCGGGGAACAGCCCCTTTAGCATGAATAGCAACTTGATTGGCATAAAGACATAACGTCAGTCTATCTTGTTTGCAAATGTGTATGTTACGTAGTAATATAATGTTTACTTTTCAACATTCTAATGAATTTTATTGAGTTTGACACAAAACAGACCCATCGAATTTAGCATATAACCAACAATAACAGCATATGCTTTGAATTTCACTTCAATCAAATGAACACAGTGGAAAATGGAATTGCATTCGACGGCAACAACTCGAAACAATAATTTGAAATGATTTAATTTTCGTCTAATGAAATGCACACATAATTTGCTTTAATCAAATCGAACATTGGCTTTGACAGTGAGTAAAATTTTAATTAGCAAATTGATTTCTCGGAATATTTTTTTTTTTTTCATATGAATTTCACGATTTTATTTTAACACTTTGAAATTGGATTTCAAAACATTAAATTAACTCAAAAAAAAGGGAAGTAAAAAATTGTGGTTTGAAAAAAAAATGAGAGACTTACTTGTGTTTGTGTTAATCCCAAACTGGCTGCCAATTCAGCACGTTCTGGTAATGCTAGGTACTGCGTTCGTTGAAACCGTCGATTTAATTGTTGTAATTGTAATGAACTGTATATGGTTCGTGGTTTGCGCATTTTTTTGCCTTTTCCATTTACCCGTAATCCTGTATCCTCGCATTTGTCTATATCGATTTGAAGAAAAGAAACAACAGCAAAAAAAACGTAAACAATCAAATTCATTCGATAAATAATGATTGAGAGAAATAAATATCAAGTGAGTGGCCGAAATGTATTTAAAACAAAAAAAAGAGAAACAACAAAAGTTCAGTAAGTACAATCGCAATGGAGGTCAGTAGTTGTGTGTACGCCACTCAAGAAATCAAGTGATTAGTTTTCACATGCAATTTTATTGAATTGAATCGTCCTTAATAAATAAATAAATAATTCGGCATTTCTGGTCAAAACTATCGATATGGAATAAATCCATTCGTTCAATGAATTAATAAATGTGCTTCTCGCTTTGTGTTTCTTTTTTTTTTACTTTACTTTTATTGCTCGGTTATTTTGTGCACACATGGTTAGAGCGTGCGTGCGTATTGCATTTCATTTCTAATGCCGTTTATATATATTTCCAATCGAAAAATGAGACTTTTGCATTTTAAAATAAGGCAGCAATTATATGCGATGAATTCGTGATAACGAATCGATTCAAAACAAGCCCTAATAACCCAATCGGAGGATTGAATTGAAGACCTAATGATTTCTAATACATTTTCTAATTACTAAATTTTGTATTTAATCCTCACTTAATTTCAAATCACCCCTTCACCCCTTCACCCCTCCGCATATTGCGCTCCGTCGGGGCGTGTATTGGTGGTTGATTTTTCTTTTAATTGGGACAATATTATCGTAATTTGAATTTAAGTTTGGTTTTGAATTTCCTTAAATTTTCATCAATTGAATCGATCAAGTGTTCATTTTTCAATTTCGCCGAAATAACTTGATAAATTTGTATCTCAATGCGGTCTTTTTTTCCATATCATTGACTCGATTGATTTGGCTGACGAAAAAAGAAATAAATTATCCGAACGAATAGATCAATATGGAAAAACATGCAACAAATGAGAGCGATAGAAGTAAACTCGTAATTGTCTATGTGAAATTTAAATGGAAAATGAACTCTATGGATAATTATAGGTTTTTAACTTTAATTCCTTGTGTTTTCCTCATTGGAAAATACGATAGAATCAGTTCGATGCCTCCTGAAAAACACTTTTTTCCTACTCTCCATTTTCTTCGTCGATAAAAGGCATTAGGAAAAGCGGTTAGTTTCAAAGGTAAACAGTGTGTACGCTATTTCTTTTTTTTTTCGTCATCGTTTTTATTCGCTATCAGATGACGATGGACAAATAGATGAACAAAAGAATCATCACGAGTCAAATACATACATGAATGAATACATTTATGCGCCTTTAGGTTCGTGTGGGGTTTTTTTCGCTTCTCTTTTACTTTATTGTCGTTGTCACACGTTCTAATTAACATCGAATCAAATAATCTGAATCTAATCAATAATAATCAGAAGGAAATATATACACACCCGACTAATATAACACGAATCAAACATAATAAATAATGTAGCCAAATGATAAAAAGCGACTCCCGAGCAAATAAACTCACGCGCAAGTTCTCGACTCTTTCACTACAGCCGAGGCATAGTTTTTGCTTCTTAGAATTACACTCGCATACAATTTGGGATTACTATAATTTTTTTCTTCTCCGCCATGCGTGTGCGTGGTGTTGTCATTTCTTTCAGTTGTATGCAATAAAATGCAGCAAATAAAAAAAAAGGGTTTGAAAATGGGAAACGCTCGTGCCATGTTAAACCGTACACCGGCACAAATGTTCGATTCACTTTGAACAACAGGACACAATCACATTTCAATATTATGGACAATGTACAACAGATACAGTCAATCGAACACAAACACACCGACCAAACAACGGCTCTTTAATATTCGATTGAAGAAGCTATAACCGTATATGATTTTGCGACACCATTTTACAAAAGTGACGCTGACACAAAACTCAATTATATATTTATGGATATTTGTCCACCGAAATCGTCCGTTCTCTACCAAACCAAACAACAGAAATTATTTTGCTTCCATTTCCAAATGAATAAATAAATATATTGGCTTGTTTATTCGGTTTATTTGACTCTTTTGATGAATTGAATATTCACATTTATCGTTATTGTTTCGAATAATGTGTTTTTTTTTCTTGTCTTTATTTATTTTTTATTTTTTTGTTCACATATCGAAGTACATGTCATTCAAAATTATGAAACAAAGCCAAAGAATAAATCACATATGATTTTACATTCTTTCCATTTCAGTATATTAGCTGAATTGGCATTTTGAAATCGCTACAATTTGAAATGATCACTATTTACTGTGAAATTCTCATCTTCATATTTGGGTGTAACCATGAAAAATTATCGTTAAATGTGAATGAACGAAATAGTTCTTTTTCTGAAAAAAAAAAAAAAAAAAAAAAATGAAAAGCAAACAACTAATGAGGCATTTGATTCATTCGTATCACAACCAAATGAAATTCCAGACGAAAAAGGATTGTGATATGATTACGCATGTTTGGCCAGTTAGATTCGCTATTCGACACCTTCACACATACATTGTGTCATATGCACAATGTTTTATGGACGATATTTCCAATTGAATACCATATAATGCCACTACTTTCAGTTGGTTGATACCAATTCAACGTCATTGTCAATGATATCAAATTAACAGGATTTTAATGACATCGAGCCGGTCGATAGTAACGTTATGAATAATTTTTGTCATCGACGACGACGACGACGACGACAAAAGCGATGATGATGGTATTGCCAACCAGAATGTCACCGCCGATGGAGTTGAAAATTTAATTTATTCGCTGGTAATGCGTATCGATGCGCATGTAAATTTAATGAGTGCATAAAGCCCCAAAGGGACGAAATGTAATGAACGGCAGCGAGTGTGAATGGAATTGAGTTAAAATGGCAATGAGCCAAAGTGAAAATGATTAAAACATTTTGATTTGTTGTTGAATCAAAAAACAATTGATTGTTAAGGTGTTTCATCATAAAGGGGTGATACAATTCGATTTGTCGTTTATTAACAAATTATGTGAAGTTAAATAAATGAAAAATGACAGTGGTAAACCACAATGAAAATTACCCATAACAAATGAGAAGTGAGAATAAGAATTGATTTGCACCATGATTCACAAAAGGGATACAAGTAACATTTGATATTGAATTCTTTTGTCATTCGAATGAATTCATTTTATTGGTTGCACATTAAGGGAATTTCACGGTGAGAAGAAGGCATATTTTCAGCATGGTTATTTTACATTTTTATTACTCGCGTCTAATTAATAGAAAAACAATATAAAAAAAGTACACCATTACTTTGTATTATTTAGTGGAAAATGTGCGGCTTTGAATCGAATCATGTTTCACACCTTGGCCAGACGCTTTGGATGTAGATACAAGAGAATTGGCATTGTAAATTGTGAACATTACACCGCCTTCAGTTCTGGAACCACATTCTTGACATTCGCCAAATTGCAGCGCAATGCTTGAGATGCGGGTATTCATTTCGAATTATTCATGTAATTTTTAATCGCTGGTAAATTAACGGCGCCATTTTTGCTGGCTGTGAGTTTTTGTACAATTTGATATAGTGCACTCCACGTAACGATTTAAAATGTACATAGATAAACGTTTCACATAACATGCTCGAACATTATTTGAATAGGTTTTATTGGGTGTAATACACACATACTTTTATTAAGAGTGTTCAAAATTAAAGTTGTCATCGAGACTCATTAATGTCCGATGCATTCAAATAAACATCAGAATGTGAACAAAAAACCACTTTTTGAGAAGGATTATGTCTTTTGTTAATCAATAGACACTCAAAATTCTAAATTTTCAATTAAATTCGTTGTGTCATTTATTATTCATAGTGTTGCTGCTGTTGCTATTCAAAATGAAACAAATACGCATTCTTGCACACCAATTGAATAGTTTGAATACATTTTCAGGCGCCAATTAATTAAAACCATAATGGCATAAATGAGAGATAGAGAAACACACACATGAAGACGGCGAAAATGAAAATCGATTTTTGAAATTGTATCTGGAGAAAGAATTATAAATAACCACCATCATAAAGTCTCTCAATGAGTTAGATTATATTGTCTAATGTGTATAATTGATGATACAATGCATTGGAAGTCAATAGTCACACCTCATCGTAATACACCACTAACATTGTTGTAAACCCAAAACGAGTATACACTTTAACATTATATTATGTCATTTTTGATATTTGTTAAGGCTGACAGAGCAGCAAACAGATGGTTTTGCTTAATGATCGGTTAGTTAATTGTTTTTGATGAACAATCTAACACACAATGTCAGACAAACATAAAAAAAATTCTGCATATCAAGCAGAAAGAGAGCGAGAGAACTACATCGGCATAATCATTCTATGAAGAAAAAAAACTATATTATGTTTCACCTTTCACGTGCTGTTCGCATACTATCCAAATTCAATTAGACAATTCACGCATAAAATGCAACGAAATCATTAGAGAGTCGAATGAGTTTAGTGCATGGGAATTTTTTTGTTTTAAATGTGTGTGTATGCAAGGCAATGGCGGCGGCGCTCTCATTCGCGCTCTGAACCACATAAATCATTTTCCGCCCCGGCGCAGTCGAACGGCACTCCTGATGCCATTAAAACTGATTCATATACATATTTTCATATTGCTTTTTAATTGTTAAAACAAATAGTTCTCATTTACACATTTCGCACGTATTTATTCACTCTTTCGTATGTATTTTTTTTTTTTTGTAGTTTGGTATATGTATTTGCATCGATCCATATTGTGTGCGCACAGCGTCAGTGAAGCTCGAGATGGATATGATCAATTTGTTCGATTCACAATTGAGTGGCGATTTAATAAATCGCTGGAAATCAGCAATCTTGTTTAAAATTGGCATTTGTACGTTCTTTTTTTCTATTCTTCTATTCATTTTCTCCCTTCTGATTTCTTCTCTTCTATTTAGCTCGTTTCGATGAGCATAACTATGCCATTTGTGTTCGTTGAA